TTACGTACGTACGTACGTAACGTACGTAACGTAACGTAACGTAACGTAAGTAACGTAACGTAACGTAAGTAACGTAAGTAAGTAAGTAAGTAGAGTAAGTAGAGAGAGAGAGAGAGAGAGAGAGAGAGAGAGAGAGAGAGAGAGGGAGGGAGGTACTTAGGTCTTCTATCATATTTTTAAAAGTCACCACAGATAGTTTTTAGACAGAATCCAGTACCATTGGTCTTCATACAAAATTATAATGGCTAGTTTTTGGAGGAACTGGATTTAAGAATAGGACAAGCTTTTTATGCTTCTCCTACAACATAAAACTTATATATTTTTCGTTATCCAACCGTTCATTCTGAATGGAGGGCTAGGATTGCCCCAATCACAATGTTACGTCTCTATATTATTTTATTTTTAATTTTTTTCTACAAACTATTTTAACACCAAATTTTGTACGTCCGATCCTCTATTAAACTAAAAATATAAAAACAATATTTTAATAATAAAAATGACCAAAATACCTTTGAAAGATTCAAGAGGTATTTTAGTCATTATATTTTATCGAAAAAATATTTTTAATATTTTTTAAAGGTGTGCCCCAATGAGAATATGACACGAACCAACTTTCATATTCATACAAATTGTATAAAAAAAAAACTAAAAATAAAATACTTTGAGACGTCGGATCTAAGATCAAATGGCAAGTGGCTCTCTTGATCAAAATTGGATGGTTGGATGGTAGGAGAATCATATATCTTCTATGCTACGGGGGAAGTATAAAAGCCAACAAATAGTGAAGGAACTACACAAATTAAAAGGCAACTCTGTAGTTTGCTGTGAGAAAAATGATGAATGATTGCATTCAAGTAGGAACTATTATTAGAATAAAGTTAGTTATACACTAATCCAAGTATATGTGAGAGGAAGACAAACTTCCATCTCACACGAGAGAGAGAGTTATGTCGAAGTTGCATAAATACCAAGCCCTTGGTACTCAGCCCTCCATTAATTTAGATATTCGAGACTACTGATGATTTTGCATGAAACTAAGTCCTTTATACTTAACCCCATTTGATGAAATATATATTTGATGAAACTAAGTATGGAATATAAGTTATCTGCTAATGATACGGCAGTAATGAGAAAAGATACAAAGATTTATGGTCTCACTGAGGATTTAGCCTTTAATATAGGATAATGACGGATAAAGATTCGTGTAGCTAACCCCAATTAATTAGAAAAAAGCTTGGATAATGATGATGAGATACTTTGAGGGCTTTAAGGTAATTGAAACTCGATGCAAGTAGGAAAACTAGATTTTTTTTCTTCAAAAGCCATCGGACAAAAAAATCATTATTATCTAAATAAATGATATATATTTTTTTTTTTTGGAACTAAAGATAAGATCCTTCTGTTAACACGCTTGCTCCTTATCTTGTTTCATTGTCAGCCTCTCAACGGTCCCCAAAGAAAAGCCATATGAATTCAAACCTTTTGGTTGCAGACCTATTTTTGCTCCTCTCTTGTTTCTTTCTCCATACAAAAATCCAAGCACTTTTTGCCTAAAATACAAAACTCCGACGTGTCACCAGGTGTGTCGTATGAATGATCAATACTTCCATGATAGGCCCGTGTCCTTTCAATCCAAGCCGTCCATCCGAATCAAACTTTCAAAAGCAACGGCAACGGACCATACCAGTTGTTTTAATGCCCTATATCTTCAATCTCAGTTATGAAAACACTTTTATGCTATGATAGATATCGCATATTAAAAGTGTGCTACATTTCTTTTTAATGAACCATTGCCTGCCTATCTGAGGATACATACAGCAATCCAATAAAAAGAGGATACATGCAGCATCTTATTTTCCATGCTACAGCTACCTCAGTACCCTATCCCTTTCAAATAACTTTTAACATTTTTCGAACAAGTCATATGCTTTTAGGGTTAGGTTTTCTGCAAATGGAGACCCTAATGCAGTAGCGAGGTCGGTTACTATAGGTCGAGATTGCGATATTCACGGAAATGGTAGCCAATCGTGGCACACCTGCCGCCAACCATCTGGTCACTTGTTGGTGAGAATTTCCGAGGAAAACAAAGGTTTTATGGTTCTCAAAACACAATGTGTGGTGCCAGGGGAAGCTTATCTCTTTCCTTTGTCTCCTTTGAGGCAATGCACACGGATGTGTGAGGTCCAACCTCATTTCAAACCATTAACAGGTTTTTATGCAAGTGGAATATGTTTTTCATCCCTTGTTTCGACATCACAGATTACTGCCACTTGTGTTTGTCCACTATAGATGACACTAGCATTTTCTGTTTGTTTCTTTTCTTGGTTAGATGTGTTTCCTCCACATCCACAGGCTTTTATACTTCTTTTTTTTTTTTTTTTCTAATATAAATTTGTGCATGTGCGCGCGTGCCGATTTTTTTAAATTGATATCAACTAGTGAGTGCATTGTACAAGCCTAATTATATAAAATAGCTTATAAATTAATATCAACTAGTGCCTTGTATAGGCCTGTGTATAAAATAGCTTATATTATGTACCAGATTAAAAGTAAATGATAGCTAGGTTGATGAGTGCTACAATATAACATCTTGAGTTTCATCCATTTCCCCACTAAACTACTCCAAAACAGACTAGAATAGATGTATATGACCATACTTTACTTTTGTTACAGAAAAACCATGACAATCCCCAAGCACCAAATGACTTTTGTTACAGAAAAGCCATGACAACCCCTAAGCACCAAATGTGAAATTGGGTTGCGTGAATGCACCACTGATTGCGATCAAAATTTGAGAGTTTTTTTTAGACATCTACAAAGAAATGACACTTCAAAAGTCCCATTTTATGTTTGAATGGCTTGATTTTTTTTGTTTGTGTGTGAATGGTAATTATCGATCTTATACAATCCTGACTAAAATATGTCACATAAGTCATGTATTGAAGCATATTGTTGATACAAATTCAACCCTCGTGGGATATCTTTCATTGCGTAGCTAATCGCATTAACCACCCATGATCGTTAATAATTTTCAGTTCGCAGTACAAGGAAGGTCTACTCGTAAGAAAGAAGCATAATTTGCTTAAGCTAAATTGGGGCCACAGCATCAAAGAAATATGCACACACGTATCTCGCAATTATGCAGATGCAAAGATGAATACACATGACACATAAATGATCCCTTGGGGAAGCCAAGGATTTAAACCTGCTTGTTGGTAAACACACCAGGAGTTTCTCTCAAAAAGCTCATTTGTGCATGATTCAAAAAATAGACTCAGTCAAAGTGCCGACCCTCGGCTAAACTGAGTTACGCGAGTGAGTCCAAAAAAAAAGACAAAAAAATTAATAATATACATCGTGTTTCCTTTGATTTGTTGTAGCAGCAACCATCAAATGGCATATTGATTTTAGACATCGACCTGGTGGTTTTTTGTAGCAACAATTGGCATATTGATTTAGACTCCCTACTCTCACTGCGGCCATAAATCTTCCTATCTTGCCTCCACTACTTCCAACTATGTCCTTGTGACTTTTTAAACCTTCACTTGAACTAACTCACACCTTCTAGAAATTAACAATAAACATTATGAATTTAGAACATATTTTAGCCTGCTGTCACCAAGTGTTTTCTTGGGAGATGAGTATCTAATGGGAGTTACTAATGTAAACTCAACTCAATTAAAATACACGTATGCGTATGATTAAAATACACGTATGCGTATGATTAAAATACACGTTTGCGTATGATTAAGTCTTCTTACATGCCAATTTGGCCCATCCAAATATTTAGGAGAGCTATGAAACAATACCTAAGAACATAAATAGAGTCAGAATCTAAACATTCAAATCTTTGTTTTTGTTCCGGGTGTTTTTTATTTTAAGCAGGGATTCCTAGGCCTGGAAGTAATATTGTGGCCATCAGGGCCCCAAAACATGAAGCAACGCCATCTCTACCATAATTTTAAGCTCTCTCTCTCTCATACATACACACAAGAAGGGAATGAGAATGAGCACAAAGCCCTTTGCAACACACCGTTTGACATGTCATCTGGTCTTTACCATAAACTCAAAAAAATTGTCTACCAAAACCGAAAAAGGAAACCTCCTAGAATTCTGCCTCCTGAGTGGCAAGTTTAACACAGGAAGTCATCAACAACACTACAATAACAAAACTGAGATTCAAGTGAAAATAAACTTTCACCCTTCTGTCTGCTCCCTTAATCTTCGAATGGTGCTCCTAACAGTGACTGCACTGGCAGTGCTGTAAGACACATAACACCCATTGAAAACTTACAACTTAGTGGTAGAGAGCGAGAGAGAGAGCACTTGGTAGTACGGTAAGACATGCAAACACAATCAGATAGATATATATATAGAGAGAGAGAGAGCCTCACTTCAATGTGTAAGCACCACCAGCTTTGACTTTACCACAATCCTTGCAACCCCAGATTCCAACAGCTTTCCTCTTCACGGCATACTGCAGAGCCAAACAAACATCAATATAAGCAGTGTCTCCCATTTTCCCTTATCTCTATATAAAACAACCAATTGATGGGGTACCTTGCCACAAAACTCGCAGAAATACTTCGCATGCTGGCTCACTTCCATCTTCTTAATCTGTTTCCTCAGACTTGCACCATACCTTGTGCCTAAAATGCACATTCAAGTTTTTCAAACATAAATGCACTAAGAGCACACAATTACAGCGCTCATACAGGCTAAAGATTTTCTCTCTTTTAAATAATGATAGACCATGGGTTTCTTTCCTCATTTTAGGGCTTAAGTTTCTCTCTCTCTCTCTCT